AGGCCCTCACCCTCGGGAGAGTGCTGTCTGCAGTACTCCAGAGTGTAGGTCTCAGTGGCCTCCAGGTTGGCAGGCCGCCATCGGATGGTGGCTGTGTTCCAACACACAGTACAGTCCTCGGCGCGGATTACAGGGGTGGAGGGTGCTGCGAGAGAGAACCAAAGCAATCACGGAACAATCAACATCAGCTCTGCTTCCCTCGTACCCTGGGAAGAGTGCTTGGGCATGGTTTCATTTTAATTTTTGATTAAAAAATACATTCTTGGTTGAAAGCCCAAAAGATAATGTATATAATGAAAAGTCCCCCTCCCACCTCTGCCTTCCAAACTGTACAGTTTTCACCCATCCCCAGAGAGCCTCTAATACTAGCTTCCTATAAATCTCAACAGTTTTTTTATACATCTACAAGCAAATTACAATACAGATTCTTGTCTGTCTCCCTTCACACAAGTTAGCCATAATCTTGCCTTCAGTAGATACTCAATAAATACTTATTTTAGGAGGCAAGAAGAAAGAATAAAATGGTGGGAGTGAGTCATTTCTCCCCCTGAAGTAGTTAGAATGATCTTAAAGGTGATGCAAACCTGGCTTATGCCACACCCACGGCAGCCTTCAGTGAAAAGATTCCATCATGGGATGCATTCCCAGTTGAATATCATCGCTGAAAAACCTTTTGGGGCTCCTAGTACCCATACAATGAAGCCCAATCTTACCTTAGCAAACATGGCCCCCATACACTAGCCTTTGTCACCTCACATCTTTCCTCTCCTTGTTTTTAAGTCAAAGAAATAATTCTAAACTTCTTGTAGTGCCCTGCACACTCCATACTTTTTCTTACCTTGATGCCTCTGCTCATATGTTTTCTATAAATGGAATATACTCCTTTAACTGATCCTTCAAAGGGTTCCATTTAGGCATCAATTCTAAGGAGCCATTCCTAAACCTGCCCCTGTCCCAGGCTCTGTTGAGTACTCCTCTGGAGTGTTTTCACAATAACTTGTATATAAATAGATCATGACCCTTACCACAATTTTTATGATATTTTGTTTTATCTCTCGCCCTTGACAGCAAGCTTCTTGAGAACAGGAGCCCAGTTTTACTCATCCTTGTGTACTCACCACTGCACAACACCTAGCACACTATAGGTGCTTAATAAATGCTTATAGGTTGATCTTAGTAATCTATGAAGAATTGAAAATTGCCTCCCGACACCCTCTTAACATCTCTTTACCTGTTCTAAAAACTGCCCTTTCGCTTGGCAGACTACATCCAGTGAAGTTCACAGCCATTACCCACACTTGATAGCAACGGCCAGGTTCCAGATCTTCAAAAATGCAGTAGCTTTCTTTCACTGTCAATCTGTATTCTTCCACCAAGTCTAGCACAAAACACAATTATAAACTTTAGGGTGTCTTCTAAAGTTAATTAGAAATTAGCTACTAGAAGAATTGGTCTACTATTTTCAGTGGAAAATTCAAACTGATAAACTTACAGATATCATTAGGTGATAGCTAGTATTTTCAAATACCTAAGAAAACAAGAGCATGCTAAAAAGAGACATTTAGATTGATGCCGTATTACATGTGAACACTTACAGAAAATAATAGGATATTAGTAAGATATGAACTTCATCTGCCACAATTAAAGTAATGTAGTTCAATAGCAAATACTAAAATTGCATAGTTTATGTTAGCTTAAATTTCAGTAATACATTCTCAAAAAATTCTTAAGAAGCAATGCCAATATTTCAGGAGAGCATGTAATAAAATAAGGACAACCCCATGTTTTCCAAATTTATGTTATAAAGCAATTTCCCAAATTAGTCAACAATTTTAGTATTCAGTATAATTTTCAAAGTTTCAAATCCTGGTTCCTCTTCATGAATTCCAGAATCCTTCCAACTAGAGAGTTCCACAACTTACAGAAATACTTAAATAACTTTGATAGGTCACAAACTATTCTAGAAAATAATTTGGTCAATGAAGACATTTCCTAAAATTTCTAAGTCACTTTACTCTCAATATTTTAGTAGTATCATTACTCGATACCATTACGAACACCTGCCCCTTTGGACCAATCTGATTATTCTTACTGAAATGTTTTCTCCTTTAAAAAGAATTATTTTCTTTTTTGAATTAGCCCTGATAATTTTAGTTATCCTCCCTGATTACTCTTGAAAATCACATCTTCAAAACTCCCCCAGTTAAGAAGCCCAGATCATTTACTTTTAAAGGAAATTTAGGAACTCTTCAACTCCATTTATTTAATTGCATCTTTCTGTCCCAATGAGCTCTTCTTTCTGGACAGAAAGTTTGGTTTAAAGAATCTTATAAGGACTTACACAGTGAAAAACATTTCCCCCACATCCTAGAAACTGTGGCTACAGTTTTCAGTGGAATCATCCTCTTGGGCTGAGTTCCGTTGCCCCAGTACTTCTTTTAACAACGCACATAACATACATTGCTGGAGACCCTACACAGAGCAGGGCATCACAGTATAGATCACCAGATTAGCTAACGGGCATCTGCAGATTTCAAGGCGGTGAATAGATGAGACACAGGACAGGTAAGTGTTTAGGGGCTGGGGCAGATGCGGAGGTGAAGTACTAAGAAAAAAACGCACCTCAGGCAATCAATAAATCATTGTTAAAAGGAGTCTTGGAGAGTCACGAAGGTCCATGACATATGCAGCTAGATACAGAGGAAGAGGAAGTGTGGTATAACAAGACAAACCCAGAGACAAGCAGACAAAAACATAAGCTTTGGAGTCTCAAAGGTTTGTGCTTGAGTCCTACCCCTGTCATGTATAAGTTGTGTGGCCTTCGGAAAATCACTTAACCTCACATCAGTTTTCTTATTTGCAAATGGGGATAACACTTATCTCATGTTGTATGTGGTCATAGGTCACCAGTAAAATAAAGAGTCCTTAACTGACAAACTTAGCCAACTTCACACTATGTCTATGGTTGCCTTTGTAAATTTTTTTAAACTTTTTTCTAATTTAAATATGTATCACATGACATCTCAAAAAATTTAAATCTTGGTAACAGTGAAATATAATAAAATTCATTCCTCATTACAAATTGGGCTCCTGAGTTTTGGAATAGCATGTCCATCCTGTCGTGTGCTCCTCTGTTTTCCAAAAAATGTGGGTCTGTCTTCAACAAGCAATATAGAATGCCAGCACACCCAGCTCTGATTCATCAGGAAGTACAACCTCAAAGTGTCTGGTTTCCAGGTCTTATTAGAACTCCTACTGAACAGGGGTGCCTGGATGGCTCAGTTGGCTAAGAGTCCAACTTCGGCTCAGGTCATGATCTCATGGTTCCTGAGTTTGAGCCCCGTGTCATGCCCTGTGCTGACCGCTCAGAGCCGGGAGCCTGCTTCAGATTCTGTGTCTCCCTCTCTCTCTGCCCCTCCCCTGCTCACACGTTCTCTCTCTCTCTCTCTCTCTCAAAAAAAAAAAAAATGAAAGAAAAAACAAGTCCTACTGAACAGAGAGATATTTACAGAGGCTCTAAAGATGTATCATACACTAAAGATGTATCATACATTCACCCTACTAAGCACTTTCACTTCTCTATGCATATTAATTGGGAACATGAGGAAAGCACATTTTTCAAAGCCCATGCCTCAAGAATTGTGAACTCTAAATTAACCTTTATGGTTTGTTTGCAGCTTTTATCAAGATGGATCTGAGAAACTGCCAACCATGACATCTAATCCTACATTTGTGCTACAATTATTATGGAGGACACTGTCCTATATATGGCTCATTTCTCCCCTGCAAAATGGTACGTTATACTTTCTTTTAGATTCAAGCACTGAAAGGGACTTGTTCTCCCTGAAAGGCTGGTATGTTACTTCCTTTTTGAAAATGAGAATATCTTAGTTGCTCCTGTTATCCCGCGAACTCAAAGCCAAATTTGAATCTCAATTACAATATTCATGTTGACCATTATGATACCTATGCATTTTCTTTTTCTTGATTCTGACTTCCAATATTTGCTTATACATCTTTTGTTTACTTATATGGTTGTTGGCTTATTGTTGTTTCTGTATGTGGCCACAAATGCGTTGTGGAATAAGTCTTAATACGGATATCTGTAAGTACTTCACATAAAGATGCAGAAACGTACACACACATCTGTATCTGTGTTAGAGATCCTACCGTTCACTTCTTGGTCATCTTGTGGTTCCTCCATGCAGTAAACCTGGAATGAGTCAATGATGTCTTCCTTGTTCATGCTCCAATAAACTGCAATTGTTGTGCTAGTGGCAGAATTGGGTTCCTGAGGTTCTAATCTAGGAGGTTGTGGAACTGCAATATAAGCAAGATTTATTATCACTAATGCTGTTTTTATTTATTGATTTTTTTTTCCTTTTACATAAGTCCCTTAGGCCTGTTGAAAAAAATTCAAACAATATAGAAGTACGTGGAGTAAAAGTGGAAGGGTCTCTCATTCTCAACACCCCCCACCCCAAAGACTCTCACTGGAGACAACCACTGTGACATTTGAGGGCATATCCCTCCAAAATGTTTTTTATCCATTTGTATATGTGTGCTTATATCCACGTAGAAATAAAAATAGACCCCAAAATATGATCACTTGAAAATACTCCTCTGTGGTCCTATATTCAGAGTAATAAATGTATACAGGTTAGAGGATGCATCAAATGATATGGTTTTCATTCAAAACAAAAACTTGAGTTGCTCTGCTACCTAACCAATGTTGTATCCTTCAACATAGAGTCTATGTTCACAAAAGAGATAAATAAAACCCTTTTGAGATTTAGTTGCTACATGATCAAAACAGAAAAAAGATTTGTATGAATAAAATATCAAAATACACTTTCTGAAATTATATTCCATTTTCTCTTTCCAATGTGACTATACCTACATATTTTTTAAAATATTAAACAATATTAAAATTACCTAGGAGAAAAAGTACACTATTAACTGATTCAAAGATAAGGTTTAGATATCTGATATAACTCTGTTGTTCTGAATTTTAAATTCAGACAATATTCTCAAGAGTTTTCACAGAGATTTAAAAAGTTAACATTATGCATATTGAACATTAACAGTGTATACAACACCATAAATCAAGCTCCAATGCAATTGTCTTCCAAAATTTTGAGATACAAAAGCATTGAACATATTTTACAAATTAGAGGAAAAGGTTATTCCTATAGTTGAAAATATGTTATGCTTCTAAATTTGTTTTTGTGGTTATTTTTTCCAGTCAACATTTCCTGAGAGATAAGCTTACTGAAATACTATGGGCCAAGTCTTATGAGATTACTTTATTAAAAGTCAACACCGAAGGAAAAGACAACAAAGGTTAGTTCAACAAGAAGGTAAAAACAAGAAAAAAAATAAATGGTCTAAGGGATGGAACAAAAAGAGACAAATCGAAGATTCAATAAAGACATAAAGAGCTGAGGAAGTACAGAATTATGAAAAATTAGAAGCAGGATAAACGGGTGGTCAAGTTCATGGGCTTCAAAGAAGAGCCTGATGTTAAATGCCAGATCCCTCACTTACTAGCTGTGTTATCTTAGTGTCAGTTTCCCCATCTTTAAAATGGGAAAACAACAATAATAATAATAATAACATTTCCTCCCAGGTTAGTTGTAACCAGCATATATACATTAAGTGCTTAGCAGATTCTCTCACATATCAGCAGTGCTAAATTTTCAAAAGGCAAAAAGGCCTTGGCAGCAGCACAGACAATGGAGGGAAGAAGGCAGGAAGCCCGTGAAGATGCAAGTTGAACTGGGGATCCATCATCTGGTATATCACAGAGGGTCTACAGAGGTAAGACGTGCTGAGTAAACTTAGGCTGAGCAGCCATGCTTAATAAACTCAGAAGCCTGCCTGGCAGAGCACCTCCCCAACAAATGATAATGGTTCAGAGACCCATACACTGTCTTTGACTTTCCTGTTTGTCTTCCCAGCAGGAAATCAGTGTCACATTCTAAAGGAGTTCATCCGGATAAATGGAGTTCAGTAAATTTTCATGTTACCTAGGTTTACTGAAAAGCCAGGCAGAATTCTTCAACTATTGTCAATTGCCTTTGAAACAGTTTAGGAGAACTCCTTGCGGCATGAACAATGAAAATCTCCCTTTCTTTTTTCCTATGAATTTTACATTGAGCTATATCTGTTTTTAAAAATGGCAACATGGGGGTGCCTGGGTGGCTCAGTCGGTTAAGCGTCCGACTTTGGTTCAGGTCATGATCTCATGGTTTGTAAGCTCGAGTCCCGTGTCAGGCTCTGTGCCGACAGCTCAGAGCCTGGAGCCTGCTTCCGATTCTGTGTGTGTGTCTCTCTCTCTCTCTGCCCCTCCCCAACTCATGCTCTCTCTCTATATATATAAACAATAAATAAAACATTTAAAAAATAATAAATAAAAATGACAACATGTTTACAGAAACATCTCTCTCAGGTAGCATAACAAACTTAAAAAGTGATATTTACTCCCCCCAAATCACCAAATTTTAAGGAAGAAGTAGTTGTAGAGAATTAAACAAAGAGTATGGGCTAGGAATGATTTTGGACCTCATGTGTTCCTTCCCCCCAAATTATTACAGTTAAAACATTCTTTTTCAAAAACAGGAAATACTTTTACTTTTCAAAGTACTCTGAAAAAGAGAATAAGAATATTCCATAGATATAATCAAATGATTATGGCTGGATTTACAATTCCCATGTGGCAGAATATCAGAGACTGAGATTTCATATGTCAGCAACTCTGTTTACACTTCTATAGGAATAAACTTGCACAGGAGTAATGCCAAAAAAAAAAAAAAAACAACAAAATGAGATTTTAAGGCTTCTTTATTGGAGGCTAAGGAATTGGGCAGAGAAATCACCCCATGGATTCCCTCCTTCTGATGGAGTGTGCCCATAAAGAGCTGTCACACTCAGGAAGTTAAGCATCAGATCAACTTAGACTTCAGGACCTGTGTGGCCAGATGCAGATTCCCATTCCATCTAGTTCTTCCCAGGAGAGCAGCATTACTCACAACAGCCAAAAATTGGAAGCAACCCAAGTGGACATCAATAGATGAATGGACAAGCAAAATGCGATATAAACATACAACACAATACAATACAATATGATACAATACAACACATACAACGCAATACAATACAATACAATACAATACAATACAATACAATACAATACAATACAATACAATGCAATACAATGCAATACAATATTATTCAGCCTTGAAAAGGAAGGACATTCTGACCCATGGATGAACCTTAAGGACATGATGCTAAATAAGTGAATCACAAAAAGACAAATACTGTATGATTCCACTTATACATGGGATGTAGAGTAGTTAACCTCATAGAGACAGGGAGTGGGGTGGTGGTTGCCAGAGGCTGGGGAGCTGGGGGAATGGGGAGGTGTTGTTCAGTAGGTACAGAGTTTCAGTTTTACGAGATGAAAAGAATCTGGGAGACGGATAATGGAGATAGTTATACAGGATGTGGATGTACACTTCAAAGTGGTTAAGATGGTAAATTTTATGTTATGTGTATTTTACCACAAATAATAATAAAAAAAAAAGTCTGCAGGAGCCAAAGTCAAGGAAGCCTTGGATGTCACTAATCTCTGGTTACCCTTCCTGCTACAGCACTGTGCTTCACCTCTCTGGTGTGGAGGAGTGGTTCGAGTATGAAGACCTTGAAGCCTAAGTGCCCCCCACCACACACACACCCTACCCTCAAGTAGCTGTGTATCTAGGGCAATATGAGAGACATTTTTCTGTTCCCTCTGTGTCTTCACCTGTCAAATGGGAATAAGAACAAAACCTATCTCCTAGGGTTGTTGTGAGATTGGATGCTAACAGTCTCCCTGGTACCCTTACAGGGCATCATGTAAGTGTGGAATGAGTGTTAGGGACTGTTCCATTTCCCAGCAGAAAAGTCACATCCTTTCCTTAGGATTTCTGATTGGTTTAGGGTATGATCAGATTAACTTTTCAGGTACCAGGCAAAGATTTTACATCTGAGAGGCATCACTGGTCACAAATGAGCAAAAACTATTTAGCAGCAAGTCAACACCCTGGGCTCCAGTTCTATGAAACAGACACACCATGCATGGCATTTTCCTCTCAGAAATCAGTCTCCCTATAAACAGCTCAGAACTGCTGGGACTGCCATGCGCCCTATTTCCGAATAAATCATTAACACTTTGTGACAATTTAACCCTGTGGCCTCTAAAATACATGAGATGTCCTGTCGTTGTCTATCAGATATTCAAAAGAATCCTTCTACATGAAAAACAACATTTAATGAATCCCTTAAAAGCAAACAATCTACTTCATTAATCAGAATTTCTTACTTTCCAATCACTGCTCTAATTGCTGGGGTTTTTTAAATTTAAATCCAAGTTAGTTAACATACCCTACTACCTACCACAGTAGTAATGGTTTAAGGTGTAGAATTTAGTGATTCATAACTTACACATAACACCCAGTGCTCATCCCAACAAGTGCCTTCCTTAATGCCCATCACCCATTTAGCCCATCGCCCCACCCACCTCCCCACCAGCAACCCTAAGTTTGTTCTCTGTATTTAAGAGATTCTTGTGGTTTGCCTTCCTCTCTGTTTTTATCTTATTTTTCCTTCCCTTCCCCTATGTTCACCTGTTTTATTTCTTAAGTTCCACATATGAGTTAAATCATATGAGATTTGTCTTTCTCTTACTGACTTATTTTGCTTAGCATAATATACTCCAGCTCCATCCAGGTTGTTGCAAATGGCAAGATTTCATTCTTTTTCATTGCTAAGTAATATTCCTTTTTTTATATATACTGCATCTTCTTTATCCGTTCATCAGTCAATGGACAGTTGGGCTCTTTCCATAATTTGGCTATTGTTGATAGTGCTGCTACAAACACTGGGATGCATGTGCCCCTTCAAATCAGCATTTTTGTATCCTTTGGATAAATACCTAGTAGTGCAATTGCTGGGTCATAAGGTAGCTCTATTTTTAATTTTTTGAGGAACTTCCATACTGTTTTTCAGAGTGACTATACCAGTTTCCATTCCCACCAATAGTTCACTGCTCTATTTCAATGCCTCTTAAAGACACTACCAAAAACCACCCTTTTGTTTGACACATATATGGATAAAATCTATTAGGATAAATGATCGAATTTTGCACTTTATATACGGTTGATGGGTTTTTTGGGTCTTTCTAAAAGACACAGAAAAAGCCTTTTACTAGTTACTAAACTAAAATTGTTCCTACAGGAATGTAAATTAATTGTCAGTTTAAAAACATCAGCTGTCTTTAAGGTGGTCTAGAAGGAATATAGCATCTTTTAAGGAAGATAGGTGAGTACATTTTACAGTAAGTGAAACTTGGTAACTTCACTGAAACACACCAGCTTTGGGAAATCTAAATAAGTTTCATTGTCTTGTTTGTTAAAATAGCACATTAAAAAATATTTTAAAGAGCCAGCAGGATGCTTCTGACAGCTGAGTAGGAGGCTCCTGGCCACAGAGCACGATGCTGAGCTGGTAGTTCTCTAACTGATCTGTTTAGTATGAAAAAAAGGGGGCAGGGGCTCAGTTGAAGAGAGAAAAACCACTCATAAGGAAAAATCTGTTCAACAGATATGAAAATATTTGATTTATTTTTCCTTCTATACCTAACTGCTGGAGTGAAGCAAATAATCTCTAGAAGACAGAGAAAGAAATCTTGTTTTACAAAGAGAAAAAAAAAGATGAGACCTTTGGTTCCATCACTCCTTCTCCCTATCTCCTTGATATTCTAAGACAGTCACAAAGGTTCAAATGGAAATGCAGATTATAACTGTAATGGTACGCTAGTCTTATGCTTTGATTCAGAATCTAGCTGTAAATTTTTACAACTAAGAGGTTTTTTTCCAGTTATATTTCCTTACATACAAAAACTATAAAGCAAATATAAACTATTCAGATTATACCAAAATGAAAAGCTTTTGGGGCGCCTGGGTGGCGCAGTCGGTTAAGCGTCCGACTTCAGCCAGGTCACGATCTAGTGGTCCATGAGTTCGAGCCCCGCGTCAGGCTCTGGGCTGATGGCTCAGAGCCTGGAGCCTGTTTCCGATTCTGTGTCTCCGTCTCTCTCTGCCCCTCCCCCGTTCATGCTCTGTCTCTCTCTGTCCCAAAAATAAATAAACGTTGAAAAAAAAATTTAAATAACAAAATGAAAAGCTTTTGCACAGTGAAGGAAATAATCAACAAAACTAAAAGGAAACCTGCTGAATGGGAGAAGATATGTTCAAATGATATATCTAAGGGGTTAATATTCAAAACATATAAAGAACTTACACAATTCAACATCAAAAAAACACCAATAATTCAATTAAAAAACGGGCAGAGGACTTGAATAGACATTCTTCCAAAGAAGACATACAGATGGCCAACAGGTACATGAAAAGATGCTGAACATCACTCATCATCAGGAAATGCAAATCAAAACCACAATGAGATATCACCTTATACTGGTAAGAATGGCTAGAATCAAAAAGACAAGAAAAAACAAGTCTTGGCAAGGATGTGGAGATTGTGGATATTGGTGTGCACTGTTGGTAGAAATGTAAGTGGGCTCAGCCACTGTGGAAAACAGTATGGAGATTCCTCAAAAAATTACAAACAGAAATACCATATGATGCAGGAATTCTACTGTTGAGTATTTACCCAAAGAAAACACAAACAGTAATATGAAAAGATACGTGCACCCCTATGTTTATTGCAGCATTATTTACAATAGCCAAGATAGAAGCAATTTAAAGGCCCGTTGACAGATGAATGGATAAAGAGGATGTGATATATATGGAATGTGATATACATATAATGGAATATTACTCAGCCATAAAAAAGAACAGAATCTTTCCATTTGCAACAACATGGATGAACCTAAAAAGTATTAGGTGAAGTGAAGTCAAAGAGAGAAAGACAAATACCATATGATTTCATTTATGTGTGGAATCTAAAAAACAGAATGAGTAAACAAACAAAAACAGAAACAGAAACATAAATATAGAGAGAACAAACTGGTGGTTGCCCGAAGGGAGGGGATTTGGGGGATGAGTGAAATATGTAAAGGAGATTAAGAGGTACAGACTTCTACTTATAAAATAAATAAGTCACAGAGATGAAAAGTACAGCACAGGGAACATAGTCAATAACATTGTAATAACGTTGTGTGGTGATGGATGGTAATACACTTACCCAGGTGCACATTGCAAGCAATGTGCAGAATTTTTGAATCATTGTTGTACACCTGAAACTAATATAACATTTTCAACTGTATTTATTAAAAAAAAAAAAAAAACCTTTACAAAAGAAAAAAAAAAAACAACAAGGAAAAACTGCCAGATTTCAACAAGGTAATTAATATATTAAAATTCCTACCAGCCACTTGTTTTAACATCTGGTCACTTCTTGCTGAGCTGTCATCATAATGTTCAAACAATGAAAATGCAGCAGGCATTTTCTCTAAAGAAGCTGTGTTCTCCATTGCAGACAGCAACCTACCATAGGAGGAAAAACATTTCTACATAAGTCAAGAAATTACTAACATACAAAATGAAAATAATTGTTTAAAATAAAGTTGTTGTTGGTGGTGGTGGGTTTTTTTTGAGGCATTGTATCCAAAAAGGAGTTAAACTGTTTCAAAGTCTAGAAAACATATGTCTAAAATCTATTTATTCTTAGGATTCTTTGGTTGTAACTGGTTATATATTAGAAATTGCATACCTATATTCCCAAACCAGATAGATTCCATCAAGTTATACAGTCTCAATTTTGCATCTATAAGTTTAGTCCTAATAGATAGTCCTAATAGAGAGTCCTATTATAATGGTTAGTCCTAACAGATAGTCCTGATATACTAGTCCTATTACTATATTCTAATGATTATTTCCAGAAGGATATAAAGGTGGACAGCCCTTCTGGAAATTCACATACTCTGTGATGCCCTTGCTTTTCTCAACTCTGACTATTATGCTTCTAGTTATTTAGTTTTTCAAAAATTATGTTCACCTACTATGTGGCAGGCACTGTTCTGGTACTGGGGATACAACAGTGAAGGAGGATAAAGTCTATAAATTCTTTAGAAAAATTTTTTTAATATTTATTATTTTGAGAGAGAGAGAGTGCACACATGAGTGGGGGAGGGGCAGGGAGAGACAGGGAGACACAGAATCTGAAGCAGGCTCCAGGCTCTGAGCTGTCAGCACACAGCCAGACGCGGGGCTTGAATTCACCAACTGTGAGATCATGACCTGAGCTGAAGTCAGACGCTTAACCAACTGAGCCACCCAGGTGCCCCTATAAATCCTTAAAAGACTAAACAAACCACAGTTTATAAGTCAACAGCTTTTATATACTCAAGACCCTCTTAGCGGAGATGCTAACTCTTAGCATTTGTCTTCAGGTACAACCTGGGCTTTAAAAAAAAAACAAAACAACCAAAAATAAAACAGGTTGATTCCGAAGAGAGGAAAAGGGGGAAGGAGAGACTGCAAAAGCGTTCCACTTTAGCATGAGGAGCCCTAAATTTCGTTAGGAGCTCTCCTCTGTGCATCTCGCTCAAAAGAGACTAGAAATATATACCAGCAATTAAGCCAGGTTCGAGGAACTCCACTGGCTTCACTATCGTGGACTTTTTGGTTTGGGTAGCACAGATCCACTTCTGAGCCTTTACACTTGCTGTTGGAACTTTCTTCTCCTAGATATTATATGGCTCCTTCCTCACTGCATCTCTGTTCAAAGGTCAGCTCTTCAGAGAGTATACTACTCACACAGCACAACCTGTCCCTAATATCCTTTACTCTGTTGAATTTTACCTCCTCAAACTTATCACAACCTATTTGTTTTGTCCTTCTATTTCACCAGAATATAATCTACATACAGGAAAGGACTTTGTTTTGTTCACCACCATACCGTACTGTGCTACTTGGCACACAATAAGCTTTTAACAAATACATTTGGAATGAATAGAGGATACTTTCATTTGGGTGAGAATATCAGGATCTCAGGTCTGGTAAATGTTTTAATCAGTGTGAGGGGAAAAGATCATAAAATATAACTGAAATATTTAAAGAGTGCCCACTATGCTTACTAGTGCTAGGAATAATAAAATAATAAAATTGACTATCATCTGATTTTAGGAGAGATGGTTCCAGGAGGGGCTTCAAAGAGGAGGTGAAATTTGGGCTGAGTCTCAAAGAATGAACAGGAGTTTCTGAGGCAGGAAAGGAAGGAAGGGTGTTGCAGACAGAAGAACAGCTTGAATCAAGGCTGAGAGCTGTGAAAGGTGCAGCACGTCTGAGGGGCCAGAGGGACCCAGGGGCTACCTTGGGAACCAGGAAACTGAAGACAGAGAACAAATGGAAAGGTGGTTTGTGGCTTGACTGTGAAAAGACTTTCATATCTACCAAGAGTTTCCATTTTATCTCACAAGGCAAAGAGAACCACAGGAGTGTTTTCACAAAGGAAGTTTAGAAGAATATCCCTGAATGAGTCTAAGAAAGGACCAGAGCAACTACGCAGACCAGAGGCATTAGTGAAGTGGGTTGGGAGAAGCCCACAATGCTCTGGGTGAGGGAAGACACCACGGGCCTAAAAGAAGGCCTTGGGGAGGCAGAGGGTGGAGATGACGGATTCTGAATTAAGGAATAGTGCTGACTAGCACATTCACCGAGCCTAATCAAGGCATGTAACTGACTACATAGGAGAATTTCTGTAACGCAAAAGTTCTGGTTGTAGATACCACAAATGAAATGTTTGAGTTTTCCCTGACACACTTCCCTGTTCGATTTTAACATCTGTATATGAAAGGATGAGCAAGCATCTTTTTAAGGGCAGGTCCTACAATGGTTGGGCCTCTCCTTCTTTTTCATTATTGTAACACAAACAAGCGAACCGGAGAGAGAAAAAGTAAATGCATCTTCTTAACAGACCAGCATTTTCTAAGCAAATGTGTTTTCCAAAATATGCAAATATTGAGTCTAAATATGCTTGACAGCGTTCCTTAATTTAAGTGTTTTCAGTGTTGAGAAAAATAATTTAATATACAAGCACTGCCTTTAGAGATATCATACGAAGGCAGGGAGAAGAAACAACAAGTTAAAAAAAATACAACCAGATAATAAACAGTTATTATGGCAAAGAACACCAATAATACTGAGGCTTTGAGGCAGAAGTTGTCTTGAGGACCTGAGAGTCTTCTTTCTGGTGAAATAATCAAGAGTTACCGCTTGCAGGTGTGTGCGCATGTCCACACACCCCTGTGCGTGTCTAAAAGGGCTTTCATTAATTGCTCGTGTTTCTTCACCAAATCCCAAGTTTTGTTGTCTTTTTTCTTCAAGAAAAATAACAGTTACCCACGTGTATTCTCCTTTAGGTGGCATGCGGCTGTAGCAAAGATTAATCCATTGTCAATTGGACAATGAAATAAAAATTAATTAAAAGGACACACAGATGAACAAGTTCAAGCACAAAACCAAAGAACTGGTATTTAGAATTAAATGGATGCCAATTCATATTAGCAAGTTAACATCCTAACATTGAGAAAAATAAAAATGTACTATAGCATTTTTGAAGGTCAAAGTGTTTGCTATTTTCTATTCACCAAATTTTCTTTTTTTTTTTTTT